ATTGCTTATAAAACTGTTATTATCAGTATTACTACGATACTAAAACTATCTCACCCGAAAATATTGTACAAGGAGTGAATTTGTTGACGAGTTATAAAAGTTAATGATGAGTAGTGACTAGCAGGGGAGTTCAGGACGCGCGTTCCGTCCTATTTGAGACTCGTCAGCCCCATCAAAACTACAGGCAATACCGAGGCATTTGGACAGGAGCTTATATGCCAGTACAGACCGATCAATTCCGTCCAGTCAACGATGCGATAATACAAGCAACATCATATGAGCCATCAGGATGTGTAAGAGTGGTAGATAGTCGTCTTTTTCCCGCTCACATGGTTCGGATAGACTGCTCTGAGATTTAGTCATTAAATTGAGAATCTAAATAGCAGCTTTCAGCTTATTACTTACGCTTATGAAGTTATATACATATCATTTGTAGAAGAGAACTTTTGTGGTCGAATTTACAACCAGATTGTCGACGTGCGACACATAGGTGTCATCTAGTAAGGGACGAAAAGGACTTCCAGCGGTTAAACCATTGTTGTGGCGGGAATGTTCACTCTCAAATGTAAATTAGACATTGCTGGTAAATAAAAGGTCCTTTAAGATATGGAGGCGGAAGTGGCAATGACATATTGTTAGTCGGTTATATAGTCATATAAAATATCAGTTTTATGCAATAAAGAGGAATCAGTAAACAAATAATTTTACATCAGGAGAGATGGTTCTGTTTTAAAGATAATTACTATGAATATATTATTTAACTAGTTCAAATATGTCTTTTTATAAAGCTTGTAAAACTGTTCCTTAATGGGATCTAATATCTCCACCAACAGTTGGACAAACTTGTACTTTAGAGCCCTGCGGATTAATCTTAAAGGACACAGAGGATTATTGGGTCTATGGGTTTTCGGAAAGTAGTAAAGGTTTTGGAATTTTTATTCCACCAGTTTTAATGAATCAAACTTGTCCTAACTAATAGCATTGACAGATAGAAGTTTTTCTTAGATTGTCTGTTACTTTCGTTGTAGAAAGTATACAGTTTCTGAACAACAGTCTCCTATAAATTTACTTTTATCTTTGACAATGAATAACTTGTTGCCTCTATACTCACTTTTCATTTTGAAAACAACAACTGAAGCATTTGTCTAGACTGAGAATGTTTCTATCAGTGTTTTGCTTACTTCTTTAAATGCTTGGATTTGTTCAGATGCGAAAATACCCTTCTGTTTAAGGTTTCATCCACGGAACTGATTGGAAATAGCCACTAACGTGGATTTCAGTCAGCCGCACTCATTAGTTGAATTGTTAGAAATTAAGAGTGCATCTAAGGAACACAAAATTTTGATACTGGTGATAGGGCTTCTTTCTGGTAATGAATCAATTGTGTGCAATTCTTGTCATCTGTGATCTGTCCAGTTCGCAAAAGAAATGCCAAAGATAGAAGTAATATTATTCAGTCAGTATCAAAGAAAGGTGTCTAAATCGTGCTACTATGTATGTATGATTCCCGGAGTCACACTACCACTTAAAGCTTTAAGGCAGCCATCCGGAAAATGTACTATACGGCCAGGATCAACATGGAGAGTTTCATATTAACTATTATACAAGTCTTAACGTTGTTGATTGTATTATACCGTTATTGAGTCAACAGAATTAAAAGCATTGGAATTATCCCCGTCACGCAAGAATTGGCTATCGTGACTCGGTGGTCTAGGGAATAACGCTCTCGTATTTGAAACAATAGGTCCTGAGTTCCAGTCTTAGTGGGAAAAACACTGCTCACTGGGGGTAGGTAAATCCACCTGACAAGCCCGAAATAAGAGAGGACGCGCGTCCTAGATTCCAGCGACAGCCACCATCCATCATCATCGCACAAGTCACTTTCATCTTGATTGAACCCTGAAATTAGGACGTTCTACACAGGATTTAAGCAGTCTTCTGCTGATCTGTTGTGACTTTGGAAAATTTGGATAATAATGTGTCTACACAGTTAATGTCATCGCTTGGAGTGAAGTAGCTTCCTAATATATCTAATAACTTTTGTTGGTCTCATCAATTTTACACGGATTTTGACAAATTTTGTTTTAATAACTATCAGTCTGCATAAATGACTCAAGAAACTGAGTACTCAAATATTCACTCTACTATGTTCTCTTGCATGTAGCATGAAAGTGAGGAACAAAACTTTTATGTGCTACTCGAATTTCTTGAATGTTCCAGTTGTTGTCTGAGATTACAGAAGCTTGTTAGATTAATTTATGTGAAGGATGTTGAGCGATCAAGTTCTATTCACATACTGAATCTCAGTACTAACATGTGATCGACCACAGTACAAATGTTCTACGTTTTGTTACACTGATCTTAGTGACTAGCAGTAGAATCCAGGGTGTGCGTTTCTTTTTATCTGGGACTCTTCAATTAGTTGTACCTGCATCTAAGTGGGTGATGTTGTTCCCACTGCGACTGTAAACTACTATCCATCTCTCTAAACGCCACAGCGTCATCCACTAGGCTACTGGGGCACGACGGTCACCTCTTGTGCAACGGGTATCAGTTTTTATTGCTATATCTTCGTAAGACAACGGTTATATATATTCCGAAAGAATATAATACTCACGCTTAGCTGACATCTAACTTAGTACGCAAGAGCCACTGACTACAACCGTGGGACGAATAGAGAGGAGACCGAAGCTGGATGATGGGAGAGTTTATTACCCCGAGATCATAATCATAATTAATCCCAAAACACGTGAATAGGTACACACATGAAAAAATGACCTTGTCCTCAATTTGAGACACAGACATAGTAAGAGTACGATCAACCAATCAGCGATTTATACTGCAATGGGGGCAGAAAATAGGCTATAGTCATACCGTAAAAAATGGTGTGGGAATGACACGTGAAAATGTTCAGATCAATAACAATCTTTGTACAAAACTGGGGCCTTACAACAGTTATCATTATGGTACTTGTAATTTCCTGTTGCTATATAGGCCGAATCGCTCCACCTCTCCTATTGGCAGATGAGCTCCTATGCAGACGCCTCGATACTGCCGGACATTCGTGATGTTATATTGGTCTTGGTGACTAGCAGTAGAATCCAGGACGCGCGGTTCGTTCTATTTGGGACTCGTCAACTGGATGCATGTGCACCTCAATGTGAGTGATGTTTCTCCTACTGATACTCGAAACCCTTTCTACATTCTGATTAGAAATTATTTTCCTAGACGTAAAGATAACTACTGAATCATAGTAAATGGTACAGAAGGGAAAAATGGGCTCTTAGTTCGATGGCAATGAAAATGTTAGCTACTGCAGTAATGCTCATATTTTTAAAGTATTGCTTGATTGTTATTAAACTTAAGTATCCTCGTTCGCTTCTTGAAAAGGGTGAGGACTTGACGGCACTCATGATCCAGAGAATGAAACTTACCCAGTAACCTTGAATTTCCACTAATTAACAAGTTAATGCATACTTGGGACATGAGTCAAACTGAAGTTTTATCAGAAATCTTCAGCTAGTCAACTTTTTGGAGTAGAAAAAAGCCGTCTGAATTAATTTTGCAAATTTAACAGGTTTCTTATAAGCAGAAAGCAGAAATTTGGAAGAAACCCCCTATTGATTAACTTTTAACATTCGACAGTAGAATAAATTGCACTGCTCAGTGTTACGTCACTTGGCTTAGTAATCACATTACAAACTTCATCATTATGCTTCTTAATAGCACTGAGCATTTAGAACCTTATGGTTATATCAGTCACCATCCAGGGGTTAATTTAGATATATAACACACATATATGACAGTGAATAAGCGTATTAGATTGCAAGGGTTAATCTACAAAAAGCCCTGTCCTGCCTAGTTTTCGTGCCTGTTGGCACTCATCAGAAAGCGGTCATCAGGATCTTCATGTTCCTTAGGTGCCCCAAACCCTCACCGCTGAGTTCTCAAGTCAGAGAATTGACAAGTAAGTAATTCAGGCCATGACTGACCCCCTTGTGTGACTAGATTATGTACTCCAGCTGGACATATGTGTCTGTCTAGTTCTTAGTGCTCAGCACTGATCGGAGTCTATCGATAAAGCTTGGAATGTGGTCACTAAGCGAAGTGATGCGATTCTGTGCTGCATTGTAGTCTCGTGTTAGATGGTGGGAGTCAGTTGGCAGGACACCCCGCTTGATGTAGGTTCTTTATTTGTTGATAATATGTTTGGCTATAGATGAAAGGGGTCGTCTCTCCCACCTGCGCTTATCAAAGACCCACACTCCATCTGTTCTTAAAGCTCTTTAGGTACCAGCTCTCCCACCCTCAACTGCATGAATCGATCACTCCTCCCTATGTATGTGTGGCCACACACACACGCAAACTGGTAAACATAATGAGATGTGACGTGATCATTTAGGTGGGCTGTGCAGTATTGTTTCATTCAACACCAACCAGTAGTGGACAGCTGTTTCATTCTAATGTGGGATTCCTTGTCGGTGCGCAGAATCATCACTTCCATTTTGGTCGAAATCAGCTAAACTAAATAGATTGCAGAGTATTGAATAAAGACAAACAATTTGCCTTACAAACTGCTAGATGACGTATGGAACTAACTTAGGGAAGAATTACTTTCATTTGAAGTCACAAAGTCCATAATGTTCCTAAAATGCAATAACCAGTATAGTTGTTATGGCAATATCACAATGGTTTCCAAACCAAACGCCAAGAACTGATAATAAATAATACAAGAAAGTAAACGTCAGCGAAAAGGATGTGGGCTTGTATAATAAATACTCATAATTTATGTTGACTTGGTGCCACTTTCGACAGTGTAATAGAACAAGAAGAATTATTTGTATTAATGGCCGAGAGAAAATCTTGATGAGCAATAACAAAGTATATATGGTTAACAGTTAGGTCTCGTAAATGAAGTTGCAAAAGATTGAAAACAAGTCCCTAGTAAACCATTCATATAAATACTGCTACAAAAACCGATTTCATCCCAAATTATAAAATCACGTTGATGAAAAAACATTACTGTGGAGAAAAAAGCCAATAGTAGTAGTAGTAGTAGTAGTAGTAGTAGTAGTAGTAGTAGTAGTAGTAGTAGTAGTAGTAGTAGTAGTAGTAGTAGTAGTAGTAGTAGTAGTAGTAGTAGTAGTAGTAGTAGTAGTAGTAGTAGTAGTAGTAGTAGTAGTAGTAGTAGTAGTAGTAGTAGTAGTAGTAGTAGTAGTAGTAGTAGTAGTAGTAGTAGTAGTAGTAGTAGTAGTAGTAGTAGTAGTAGTAGTAGTAGTAGTAGTAGTAGTAGTAGTAGTAGTAGTAGTAGTAGTAGTAGTAGTAGTAGTAGTAGTAGTAGTAGTAGTAGTAGTAGTAGTAGTAGTAGTAGTAGTAGTAGTAGTAGTAGTAGTAGTAGTAGTAGTAGTAGTAGTAGTAGTAGTAGTAGTAGTAGTAGTAGTAGTAGTAGTAGTAGTAGTAGTAGTAGTAGTAGTAGTAGTAGTAGTAGTAGTAGTAGTAGTAGTAGTAGTAGTAGTAGTAGTAGTAGTAGTAGTAGTAGTAGTAGTAGTAGTAGTAGTAGTAGTAGTAGTAGTAGTAGTAGTAGTAGTAGTAGTAGTAGTAGTAGTAGTAGTAGTAGTAGTAGTAGTAGTAGTAGTAGTAGTAGTAGTAGTAGTAGTAGTAGTAGTAGTAGTAGTAGTAGTAGTAGTAGTAGTAGTAGTAGTAGTAGTAGTAGTAGTAGTAGTAGTAGTAGTAGTAGTAGTAGTAGTAGTAGTAGTAGTAGTAGTAGTAGTAGTAGTAGTAGTAGTAGTAGTAGTAGTAGTAGTAGTAGTAGTAGTAGTAGTAGTAGTAGTAGTAGTAGTAGTAGTAGTAGTAGTAGTAGTAGTAGTAGTAGTAGTAGTAGTAGTAGTAGTAGTAGTAGTAGTAGTAGTAGTAGTAGTAGTAGTAGTAGTAGTAGTAGTAGTAGTAGTAGTAGTAGTAGTAGTAGTAGTAGTAGTAGTAGTAGTAGTAGTAGTAGTAGTAGTAGTAGTAGTAGTAGTAGTAGTAGTAGTAGTAGTAGTAGTAGTAGTAGTAGTAGTAGTAGTAGTAGTAGTAGTAGTAGTAGTAGTAGTAGTAGTAGTAGTAGTAGTAGTAGTAGTAGTAGTAGTAGTAGTAGTAGTAGTAGTAGTAGTAGTAGTAGTAGTAGTAGTAGTAGTAGTAGTAGTAGTAGTAGTAGTAGTAGTAGTAGTAGTAGTAGTAGTAGTAGTAGTAGTAGTAGTAGTAGTAGTAGTAGTAGTAGTAGTAGTAGTAGTAGTAGTAGTAGTAGTAGTAGTAGTAGTAGTAGTAGTAGTAGTAGTAGTAGTAGTAGTAGTAGTAGTAGTAGTAGTAGTAGTAGTAGTAGTAGTAGTAGTAGTAGTAGTAGTAGTAGTAGTAGTAGTAGTAGTAGTAGTATCTGCCACAGCGTTTTGGGTGCTGGTTTGGCTGCGCTTCGCTTGCTGTTTTAAACTGTTTGGCTGAATTCATGTCTTGGATTTAGCGATATTTTTCCTACTTGGACTCGAACTCAGGACTTATCTCTTTAAACGCCAGAGCTTTATCCACTCGAACACTGAGTTTCAAGGATCACTTGTTGTGCGAGAGGCATAGTTTCACTATTCCCGCTTGTATTATCGCCTTGTTAATTTGAGCGAAATGGTTTGTCGTTGTTGGTTTGTGAGCTCCTATGAGGATGCATCGATGTTTCCTGTATCTTCTGTAATCTATGATTGTAACTACAATTCATATTTCAATTAGGGGAAATAGAATAAATAGTTACATTTTTGGTTTAGCAACCATTCTTGATGTTTGTTAACCGGTCGAAGATCTTTTATTTCGAAATTAATTTTCTCACGATTATTTATTCCCCTAATGTCAATCAAAATTTACTTATTTATAAGCGTTTCATATCTATCTTTTTATGGTTTGTTGAATTTTTAACTCTTAAAAGTTAATTTTGTGAGAGGATTGTATGTATGTATGCTTTCTGATATACTGGGTGAGTATCGACTAGAAATTTCCTAATACCTAGGACTCGTCGTTTGAATTTACTTGCTTATCAAAGAGTATTGCTGTCCCCGTTAAGACTCCAGCCCAGTACCTATCAGTTCAAACATCAAAACGAGATCAACTAGATTGCTGAGTTACGATGGCAACTCTTTGTTCATTGGGTACAGTTGAATATTAAGGATGGATTGCGTCTATCAGTGGAATCTCTTACGCACTTGGATATAATGGTGCATCCAGGCAAGCAGTACCAAATAGGATGAATGCTTTTCCCTTCATTTCAAAGTGATGTTGCAATATGTGAACTCCATTAACTAGTTACACACAAGGTTAAAATATAGTATACATGAATTCGATGATACAAGTCAACTGACTTGATTAAAATACAACTTCGATTATCCATTAGAACTCAGTCAAGAATAGTTTTTGAAGAAATTCGATTCACTTACATGTAATCAGTTTATGGTTCCCGGTCTGAAACTGTAATATTAATTGGTATTGTGTCTTTTACATAAAAGGATGAGGATTCAACTAAACTTTAGTGACGACGAATCACGTTCAAGTAAGCACTGACCAATCAGAATCAGGAATATGAAGGACGAAGAATGATTAAGCAAAGTGGTACTTTATTTACAGCTGATGAGGAGTCATATACTAGAACGAAACAGATGTCCAGTGCTCTCAGGCTTCCAATGTTTCTACAACTGATGTCAATCTATGATGAATGCCAACCTGGGGATTAACTAATCTGTTTCACATGAGATATCATTGAAACCATACCACTGTCTGCATTGACACCAATTACGTCATGATTCCAATAAAGGTCTTAAGAACTTTGTTAGACGCCTCCATGTATTTTCAAAGTTGTTTGTGTGCACTCCAGTTGTCCGATAAATGAAGTTCCTCTTGTGACCAATAGCTTGATGGGGGTTACCTGTTTCATATAAAGGCATGCATGACTTCCAAGCGACTGTGTAAATTGAGATACGCAAAACTGCTACGGTAGATATTTCTGATATATTCTTTATCCATTTAAAATGTCCTTCCTTCATATTTCTGCAGTATATACCAAGAATCTACGTTTTGCCAAGACAAGTGTATGTATACATACATTGGGTAGGTTGTAACTTACCCAGTCTTGTTCAAGTTATCTATCTAGGCTATATTTGCATTTCCGAAGAAGATATTTATCTATTTCAATTATATTACCTTCTCCAACAAATTTTATCAAAGGTTTACGTAGCGTCAATAACACAGTAAATGGACGTAACCAGTAGCTTGAATAAATCATCTCCAACCCGATTTGCTGTCCTGAAGGTTTCCCGTCACGAAACTTTAGCTGAACAGGTTGACTTAGTCAAGTATTTTTATTCTGGCAAATCGGCAAAATGTTCAGCTGGTGCGTAAAATTGTCTGCAGTTTTGGTATTAACATAAGAATTCTGTCAAAACTTGATAGGATTGTAGTAACGTTAGGAAAAGTGAGCATGACATGTTACTTCATTGTAGAAAGTAGCTTACTCTTATCAGATCCGAGATTATTACTCAACGAACCCATAATGATTCCGAGTGGTAAGTAAGGGGGAAAAAAATAGTCTTTTTCACAACAGTTTTTGAATCCCCAGCATCTGAGCTAATAACTCTGTGTTTTATTGGCTAGGCTATGAGATTCATCTGTTATGTACATGAGGCATACACAACTGGTTTTAAATCTTCCCATTAGTCGCTCAGTTAGATTTAGTACCACGGATAGAACTGGCTAGAAGAAGAATGTGACCGAACAACAATGATAACAATCGTTAACTAGTGTGGTCTCGTCGGTAGTTAAAATTCACAGTTCGTCTAGTAGAGCAGCCGAGTTGTAATTCATCAACTGTTGTTTTACAGTTTCTATGCCATTTTTAGGATATACCTTCTCAACTAAGAATACTTCAGCCATTATCAACAACAAGGAGATTATTCTACGTGTAAGATAAACAGTCACTAATATTAGGATTAAATACTTTAGCCAAAAAAAGTAAACGTAAAACATTTCAGTAGTGGATATGAGTAGTAGTGAATATTTCTAGAAAATGGATATGATCCTCTGAATTCCTTCACGGCTTATAGAAAGTTGAAGTAGTTAGCGTAAAGCCATCATATATCAATGATAAGTCATAAAATGGTTGTGTGCATTTATACAGAAAGCAGATTAGCACATCGCTGATGCTCTTATGCATTCGGAAACCTTTCAGTCAGTCATTGGCAGTAGTAGTTATCACCTTATTTTTGCGCTAAAACTTGAACAGTCCACTCGTCTTAAATTGTCACTAACAGAGTTCATCTGATGTATCAACGATGAGTTCATAATAAATTGGTATTCATCATGGACTGATGTCAGTTAGAGGAACACTGTAAACCTAGGAGGGCTGAACAGCTGTTTCGTCCTAGTACGGGACTCATCAACAGTGCGCATCCATGAATCCGCCCTTTAGGGATCGAATCCAGGACATTAATGTTCCGTGGTCAGCACGTTACTATTGAGCTGGACACTAGTCGGAATCCAATGGTTCGTAGTTCCTACTTCTGTCAATGCACGATACAGTGTAACCTCCATCCAATACCGTCTCTGAGTAACTATCTTCATGTTCTACTTGGTTGGCTCTAATAGTCACGACTTCTCATTGGAACTTCCGGAATCCCCTCTCGAAGCTAGTCACCGATGAGCGCCAGATTAATTGAATTTGGAGGCTTGAGGGGAATGTTTGTTGATTTTAAGTTGATATTCATCATGGACGGATATCAGTTGGAGAAACTTTGGAAACTTGGGAGCACTGTTGAGGAGTCCCAAACTAAGATGAAACGGTCGTCACTGGTCCCAGGTTTCCAGTGTCTTTCCAACTGATGTCCATCCATGGCGAATACCAAGTTAAGGAACAGCTGGCAAAATCCGAACTGTAAATAAACTATAAGTACATGAAAAGTCACGGAAGCATAGCTGATCTAGTCATCTAGTCGATAATGCTAAGGACTGGTCAAAGTTTATCAGTTACTTTTCTCAATTTGACAATTAAGTTAATTGGTGCGATAGGGTAGTGAAGCAGATTTTAAGGTTGGGTGTTGGGAATCAATCTGCAGAAGGCACTACTCGGTCCAGGTTTCGTGGTTGTTCGCACTCATTAGAAAGGTGTTTATGTAACCATGAGAAAACTGGTATTCTCTCAATGATTCCAACCTGTATCATTCAGTTCTGAAGTACTCACTGAACTATTCAGGACGTGGTCTATAGACGTTGATTAGTACCAAGCACTAAGAAACAAATAACTACATCGGTTACCTAGTTGTGACTAATAAGAATGGTCGATCCAGCGCTACAAGGGTCAGTAATGCTCTGGTTAACTAAGTGGTTAGTTTGCTGACTTCACTAATGAATATTTCAGGTTCCAACTAACAGGAGAACACCAGTTATGCAACGGGACTTGAAGCAACATGTTAGAAGGAGAAGTTGTTTATTCACGTATAAAAATAAGTATAAGCGAATTAAGCTCATTTCATAATCTTCTAATCTATGACTACTTTGAGAAGGAAGAGAATCAGGAACTGAGGAAGTAATTGTGTGGTATGCTCAGTTGCCATGCGGAAAATCTATTCAAATATACGCGTAGAAAGATCTTCCAGTTCAATCCCTGTAATGTGTAGACTGGTCACCTTTTAATATCAACTTTCTTCATTGGGAGTATATATATATATATATATATATATATATATATATATATATATATATATATATATATATATATATATAGACAGTATTTCAACCTACATTGATTGGTCACTGAAAAGCAACCAATCTCATGTTGTCTAGTCCTTGGTGCTGATAGAATTCTGTCAATCATTATGTAGTATTGACACAAAGCTAGCAGGATTACCATCGTGGTGGACTCGGATAGATGTTGGCTGGTTGCAGGCAATCGGGAGGAATCTCTGGACCTAGGTTTCATGCTTGTTGGCAGTCGTCAGGAAGGCGAATCTGCAACCTCGAAGAAACTGATGTCCCTTTGAGATTCGAACTCAAGTGACATCAAACAAGAAACCTAGATCCAGGACAGCCTACTGATTACTTCCAACCAACTAACATTTATCGAATTTGCAGCGCAATAAGAGTCTCCTAAGTAGGTGACCACATAAGAAAATGATACGTAGAATTCGCTCAGCACTCAGGACTGGACAACTTGAGGTCACTTGGTCTCCGGTGATCAGTCAATGAATTTCATGAGTATTAGATATATCCATTCTAAGATATAATGTTAAGTAGAAAAACTAGTTATCAAAAGCTGGAACTATTTAACCTGTTTTTCCAGTATTTTTCATTTAGTTTCACTACAAAAAAAGACTGAATGAATAAATGTAGTAATATTTTCTCAAGGATTATTGAAGCTGACGAGTGTTAACTGGGGTCAAAAGCATCACAAATAGTTTGTGAACTATGTGATATGGCATTGTATGTTTAAAAAGTAAAAAGAACTTTACTTAACTGCAAAACTCCGTAGTAAAGGTAATGCTCTCGGGTAAGTTAACGCAAAAGTAACAAGTGCAGTTATTGTTACAGTGCCTGATATTTGATCCCTAGACTGTTCGAAAATTTACAAATTACTAGAAGCATTCAGAACCAGTCAGATTATGTAAGATTTATCAATATATCACATGACTATAACTGTTTGGTAGAATGAGTTGGTAAAAACTAATGAAAACATTCTCCTAGAATTCTTTCAAACTGTCAAAGTAACCTGTTGATGTAAACAGGTAGATATGTTTTTCGTATGCAGAGAAATCTAAAACAGACTTTTTTTTACACCCATTTTATCTTCCTAGTGATCGACTGACTAGTTAATCGAACTCTAAAATTTACTGTTCAAGCATTTATTTATGGAGATATCAGTATATACATTATTTCAATTCTTCAGTCTTTGGTGTCAAATCAAATCTACGTACTTGATAATTTAGAGATGGAAAGAAGCAGAGTTGCTGAATATTCTAGTGTACGAATAAACTTGTCTGAATTTAGTAGTAGGTAGTCTATTTATGACAGCGAAATTCAAATTTTCAGAACAAATTAAAGATGAAAACCATCCAACCTAGAAGTATTGCTTCAATCTATAAAACTGATGGATAAGGTGTGACTTTGGCTTACTTGTTAGTGCTAATAACTAATATGAAATGCAAGTACACACAATTTTCCAACTTTTATCTACACGCATCTAATGCAGTTGTGTTATTTCCTATGTAAAGCAATTGTTTTATTGAGAATTATTTATTTTCACTATGCACATTTGATGTCCTTGGTTCTCAAGGAATTTATGAAATTAGCTGGTTAAAACAAAAGTTAGTGAACAAGGTAGGTATATTTTTTTCAGCTATCATTTGTTTGTCTCTGCATCAATGTCTGTTTTTTCATAAGTGGAATGCATTTTTAGTCAACACACAATGAGTATGTATCATCTGAGCAAAATAACAAGTTAGAATATATCTAAGGTAATCAAATTTACTCTTGGATGGTATAATTAACCAAACGATATCCACTTCTCTTTATTAATGAAATCACTATACATTCATTATGATTAGGAAATAATTTTATGCTGACTTTTTCTCAGAGTAACTTTCGGTAGCTCAAAGTGCAGAAGAGGGACTTTTCAGTTTATTGGGGAAAACTTTAATTTAGGGAAGGGTTTGTAAGGATTTATTGATTTCAAGTTAGTATTCGTCATAAACTGACATCAGTTGGAGAAAAATAGAAACCTGAGGGCACTGGATAACTTGTTCGTCCTAGTATGGGATTCCTCAGCAGTGCGCACCATGAACCCGCCCTCCGGAGATTGAATCTCGAAGTTCCAATTAGACTTCATGACTGGTGGACCTGTGGACAAATCAACGATGACACTGAGTGACGGTCATGCTATGTCTTGAACTGACAGAAGTTGGGAATATGCACCATTTGATTTTGACTCAGTGGTTCAGTGGTAACTTACTGGCCGTGAAACCTGAAAATCCTAGGTTTAATCCCTGACACAGTGGGGTGATGGGTGCGCACCTTTGGAGAACGTCATACTCGGAAGAAGCAGCTATCCAGGGTTCACAGTTTTCAAATGTATCTCCAAATGACGTAAGTACATAATAAATACCAATCTGAAATTTAATTCTAAATGAAAATAAAGTACATTGTCTTATTTGCTTGGTGGTAAATAACAGAGGAATCCATGACGTACGTCTCGTCTAGTCTTCAATCAAATAAAATCAAAGCGAAATTAGATGCAATACTGAGATCTGTTCAGGCAGCTCATATGCTAAAGTGACCGATCAAATATATCCAGCATAAGAGTGAACAGGAAAATAGAAGCATCCGTAATTCATAGTAAGTGATATCCATCGCATAACGGGTAGCATTCGTGATTCCGTAGTCCTGTGAATAACGCTCCAGAGTTCAAAGTAATAAATACTGTGCTCGATTCTCAGTGGGAAAAAATCACCCAAAGGGATGAAGGTACGTCCAAGCGACACCCACAAAATGACACCAAATTCGCATCCCACATGGAATGGCTAGCCACCATCAAGCAAATTACATCATAACATGGTGAAGGACACCATGAAATCAACAAATTCACACCAACATGTAGACTGAACTAATAACGACCTCTTATTGGTAACATGCTTCGAAATGAGATTTCTCGAAGTTCCAATGAGAAGTGAAGATTTATTAGGAAAACTGAGTTGGACAAGAGAACGGCCACTCAACGATAGCATTAGATGAAGGTCACGTTATATCACGAATTGACACAATTAGCAAAATGAGGAAAACTGGGTGTTGACTCAGTAGCTGATATGGTAACGTGGCCGCCAAGGAACCTGAAGGTCATGGGATCGCATGTAGACGGTATTCACAGTGCACTGTGAAGATAAGCCACAATAAGACAGTGCGAAACATCAGAAAAGATTTTATATTCTTGAAGGTTGACTTAGCTAAAGTCGAATGTGAGCAAACAAGATTTGGATGATGCAGTTTATTGGACTGCATTCAAGAGAAGTTTGTTATTGTCAGTTTGTTTACCTTTAGTTCTACTAAGCATCCAGACTGTATTATTATTATTATTATTATTATTATTATTATTATTATTATTATTGACTTCAGCTGTAAAGATAATTGTTGAATATAATACCAAGCGAAAGAAATATGTATAGTTCAGTAAACAATACGTGATTTTATTCTTGCTTCTTTTTTATCAGAGTAATATTTTGCATTCTCTTATAATGAATAATGTGAAGAGATAGAGAGAAGAAATATTAAAATATGTCGGGTTGGTGCCGAAAAACAAAGATGAACTGAAACGCAGATGATTCTACTGAATAGCAATGACAAGTAAGATACGAGGTAGAATTTGACCTTTCGGAGAATGCATGCAAATGTGATTTAACTGAATTATATATCTTATGTATTCACTTCTATTGTAGAATGTTGATGGTCATCAATGAAGCGATAGATGGTAGCCCTTACAAAACAATGTCACTTCCAACTTCTAAATATTCCTGCTACAGAGATTCACAATAACGCATGTGACCGTTATAAACTACGTAGGCAGACTTTGTGCAACAGTTCAACGCGTTAGCGAAATATTCTAGAGATATCTAGATTAATGGGTGTGTCACGCACTTATACATTTAAAATCCAGTTATATTAGATGAAACTGACCGACAACTTGCAAAATGGCTTCTATGCAGAAACCTGAATAGTGCTTGAATATTCATCAGATAATAATATAATTCGCAGAATACTACACAGTTCTACTCACCATGTTCATAACTAATTTCACTCTACTTTAGTCGAAAGATGACCAGCCTGACAATAATGATCACATCAAGAATATGAAGAGAAAAACAGACAGCTGAATACACCTGGTCACCTGACTAACTGGAAACAACTGACTGACCATTTAGAAGTGGTCAAGGATTAGATAGACAGTGCATCGTGATCTGAAAACACAGACTACCGAAGTAAATCACAGCGAATTTTCAAAAGTCAAATGTACTGTACTGTACTCTGGAATTATAAAGTCGAAAATCCTCTAATTAAGTCTCAATGCTCGGTAGTCTGGATAACTCACATGTATGAGCCTACTCAGTTCAGGCGAATTGCTTAGGAACATGGTGATAAGAGAAGAAAATCTCCGTCTAGTGTTTAGACCATCTCAGTTAGCTTAGTGTCGTCTAACTGATTGGTTCATTGGTGAAGTTCATCTTCAACCACTGGTTCTACTGTCAGTAGTACGTACCAAAGAATAGTTGAGTCCCCAAATATGCGATTTTCATTAGGAATTCCATCCAAAACATACATATCTTCCATCAAAGTTAGTCACAATACTTTCCGACACATTTTGTAGAAACCCGTGTATGCTGATGTTCAGTATATTCCGAAATGATCCAAACAGAATCATCTCCATTGATCAATACTGAACTGAAGTGTACACTATGCTCCGTACACTCGATGTACGCGTTTATTCAGTTTGTAGTAGACAGAAATTCTTATTTCCATAGTTAACAATACATTAGCATAAACATGGGAGTAATATGGCATGTGCCAGTCCGCGCAATGACTGGCAGCTGGAAGGCAGACAATTTCATAATGTCTGAGTGTTGACCAAATTCTATCGACAACTTTCAACAAACTTTCAACCAGTCTCCTGTGAAACGAGTGCCAAATGAAGATGATAGTGGATAGTCGTGCCATGCTACGAACTGACAGAAGTTAGCAACTGTGGTACAGTGAAATCCAACCCACTGGTTGAATAGCTTATGAGTTTACCATGAGACGTGGAAATCCCTAGTTCGATTCCTGGTGGGATCACAACTGCGTAACACTGAAGAGGCCTTCCACTATGCGACGAAATAGCTGTTCGATGCCTCACCATTTCCAATGATTCTACATCTGATGTCAGTCTTCGATGGATACTACTCTGAAATACTCATTTCATCCTCAATGATTTTATTTTTGCATGGAGTGAGTTGGTTGATAATTTGTGCAACAAACTATGAGCTATTGTAAGACCAGGAAAATATTTACTTACACGTCTAAACTCGTTCAGCTTGTAATGCATGGTGCTAATTGTTTAGACCTACAAATCGTGTCAGTTCAACTGGAAGCTAGTATGTATTCAGAAATTGACTGGGAGAGGGTCAAGCTTTAAATGCTCACTTCTACCCAAGGTTCATCCTCATAGAACATGATTTCCTCTTCCACGTGTAAGACAGGCTATTTTGTTGTTTCCATTACCTCATACTAAAGACACCTGATGGTAATTATTAGAATGAGACCAACTGGGGATTCGTCTATCTGTCTCTAAATAGATGGGAGTTATTTTGTAAAGTGCATGATACATGTATATAATGTTTGTAACTGAATGCTTGGTTCGACAGATGAATTCAGAGAACCAAAACAGTTATTGACGTTCGGTATTGCTCACGTTAAAAACCATAATACATACACCATGCTGCAATATAGTTTGTTGGATATGCATCACATCAGCCCAAGGAAATAGTAAGTCATTTAGGAATAATCTTAACACTAGATAGAAGTTTCTCTCATCTTTAATCCCGCTTGTCTTAGCATAAATAAACTGTCGGAACCCATCCACTGCGGGAATTTAAGCCACTTGAACAGTACAAATTGCACTAGTCACACTACCCACAAGGGGATTTATCAAACATGGGTAGTCTGATTAGATTTAAACAGGAACTCTCAACATTATAGTCCAAGGGGCTGGAAATCTACTGAGCAATAAAAAATGTTGACGAGGACTACACAGTTTACTGCTTTATGGCGGAAGTTGAAGTGAAAATCTGGGTCGCGTCATTATGAAATGAGGTCAGTTCGCTTCACTTTTTTACGTGCACTAAATCATCATTTTATACAATCTGTACTGAGTAGTTTCTACTGTTTAGACTTTCTGGTCAATAATATAAATGTAAATATGAATATCTATGAATTATTCCGCTATATTCTGTAGATAAAAATAAACGGAATCGTGTTAAACCGTCCGATGTAATCCTTGGCAAGTCCAACAATCTATACCTTTCAGTTCCTCACTCGCAGATGTTAGCAATGATTCGTTTTGTTAGTGGAGATAACATAGAAATCTACATTTTCATGAAATAACATTTAAGTCCACCTTTTGTGCAATGACTAAGATTATTACTATCCTGTTACCTATCCCAACAGACAGTAGAAGGTGAAACAAACCAATGCAGTGTAATTCCATAGCTCTGTGTTAAACGGACAGCTAAACTTTATGCAAACGATGAACAGTTAAAACAGAAATTTTTTAAAAAATTTATCTTCACTAGTTTGAAACGTAAAAGTGCAAAAAATCAAATCAAAGGTATACCACCATTGTTCTTCATTACGTCTTAGACAGTATACTGAGTGAATATGACTCATTGTATATCCTTCAGATGACTTTCTTGTCATTCAAATAAGAAAAATCTATGTATGTTAGCTCCAAAATTATATACCTATTCATGAGTATTGGACTAAGATTTCTTAAGGGTTATCAGTACTATCTGACTGCTCATAATTGAGTGGGTAGACTGCTTTACAAACCATAGTTCAATGAGAGGATGAAGTATTCAACTCAAAGGAGTTTCAGATACGGTCGATTTTCCAATCAAACGAAAAATAAGTAAACAAATAAATAATTCATGTTGTTATTAGTCGTAGACCGATACCAGTTGGAGGAACAGAGGAAACCTGCGAGCACTGGAGAGCTGTTTCGTCCTAGTGTATGACTCCTCAGCAGTGCGCACCTACGACCCCCCCAGGGATCCACCCCGCGACCTTCAGGTTCCGTGGCCAGCACGTTACCACTGAGCCACTAGGTCAGAATCCAGTGGTCCATATTTCCAACTTCTCTTAGCTCACGATATAGCGCAATAAATAATTTAAATAATCATTAAACTTATCAAATTATTAAATCAGAAATACTCACCAGTAAGCCAGTTTGGTACTGAAGATTGTAGCACACTCAAGTGTTTACATAAAACAAGCAATCCTCAATCAGATATGATGATTGGAGCTGATAAACACGTGAAGAGGATTTTCAAATTTGTAAATGATTCATTTACTTCTGCAGTTTTTGGCGAGTTTGTACATTCATTAGAATTGTAAAATAGTTTAAAACTTGGACGTAGTGTCATCATGTACGAGGTGTTCAGGCATATAAATCTAATTTTCACTGCATAACAAAACTTCCATCACAAGTATTCAACTTTTATTCCATACTGATTGAATCGCTTATGTTTGTCATGATGACATACGAATACATACACATCTAATGCAAGTGTGTACTTGTATAATTATGTGAGTGATTTCATCGTCTGGTACACAATAACAAGTCCTACGATAGCATAACTTCAGCCTACGCTGGTGTTAAAAGTATCTTTTTATACGTTTCTGTGTGTGTATATAGCATAACTAGAGATGGATATTCATTATTCCATTGGTGCGAAAATGACCAGGGGAGAGAGAGTATCTTACCATTTATGCATATTTGGTAGATTACATGGTATAACAGAGAGGGGAAGAAAATAGCGAAGGATGAAAACTGTTTTCTAGATGTAAATGATGTCCCCTACTCATCTTGGTTTCCGTTGTAGTATTCATCCCACAAGGCAGAGAAGGAAAAAGAACTGAAATCATTTGAAGTCTAATAGACGCATCATAACGTCCTCACTCACAAAAATGGAGACGCTACTTAATTCCCTTACAAGTCTTACTCGTTGAGTAATTTATAAGCGGACTGATACTGTAAGAAACAACAACGGCTGAGACGCATGACAGAATGTTTTGTTGTGACACCTCGTACAGTAATGATGAAATATTGTACAGTGTTTCATTTCTTCTTCTGCTTACATCTCGACTTGCTCTTAATACGCCCACATTGTCTCCTGCTTTTCTCTAGGCAGAATATCTACCCATCGCTGATAATTGCCTATGATTTCTGCTGACCTCTCAACATATGCTACTTATATCCATTCGCATCAGCGGCACACACTTAATACCAGTCGAACAACTGCGATAACGTAAACAATAATGGATAGCTAGTACGTTGTTATTTTTGAATCCCAAGAACTAGAGACAGATGACCATTTCCACAGTCAACCCTATAGCCATTAGGCTTTTAAACAGGTATGCTTCAATTCAATATATTCTCGGTAATTATAAGCTTTGGAGCTAATAATGGATAAGGGGGCTTAAAATGGAATCTAGGACAAGCATTTCGCCCTATTTTGGACTTCTCAGCTGGATGTCTTGCTTCACTCTGAGTGGTATTGTTCCCACTGAAACTCTAGGCCAACATGTGTGGCTTCAGGATCCAGAATGCAATCCAGTAGGCGACTGGATGCTGCACTCGAGTGCCAGTGGGAGCAACACTCATTGTCAGCCAGCCGACGAGTTATATATCGAGTGAAACGTGTGTCTGGGATTCCACTGCTAACCACTATCAATCATTGGTTTCAGTTTTAAATTACCGACAATATCGACATCAATTCATATGACGATCAGTTTACAGAAATGAACCAGCGAATCGCGCCGCAGTCCAAATTTTCATTTCACCTTCAATCATCACTTAATATCAATACAAGTCTGCTAAACCACGGCTATCTCACTCATGGGCAAAATAATAATAGAATTAGGCTATAAAGAGATGAATCCAGATAATTGTACTTTTATATCCATTGATTGTTAATCAAAAGAAATAATGGAAATTTGGAGAAAAGTGTCGTGAGGAAGAAACATAAATTATAATTTGAGTGAAAATTAATCTAGGACAGCAGGGATAAAAGGCATCGTTAGTAATGCCACTGAATACAGTTAACTAGTGAATATTATTCCTTCAGGATACTTTGCTTCCCTCGATTTGATTCACATGTTACGAAATTTCTGTGTTACTTAGGTTCATTCTCTTGAAGGTTTCCGCACTTGGTTTATATTCTTAATGTAACTTCAACATACAATAGATTCAGTCGGATGACTTCACTAAGAAAGGATTAACAATTTAATTGGTAGGACTTTTAGTACCCAAAGGAAGTATCTGCTTGTAGAGAAACTGTATTACACGCTGCAGGCTATCAAGGCTTTGTTTCAAATGGTTTCAGATTAGAGCTTACTGTTGACGTGTTAACTAAAACAAGAGACCCAACCTTTTCTGAGGCAGCTCCGATGGCAAAACAAAGATGATCTGTTCAGTAACATTTACCCATAATAGGGTAATGCGAATGGGAAGATTAATTCTCGCTGTAAATGGTAGCATTTGATAGTCATATCAAAAAGGGTTATCTCACTTAATCGTATCTGAATGCCAAGGAGTATACATCTGTATACTGAGTAAATGTTACATTTTATATTCCAGTCTTATAGTCATTGTGGGAGAAATTCAGTCTAGAAGTCTTGTATTAATGACGGATCGTGGCTAGCAGTGGAATCCAGGATGCGCATTTCGTCCCATTTGGGACTCGTCAGCTGGATGTACCTGCTTCCCGGTGAGTGATGTTGTTCCCACCGTGATTCGGTCCAAGCAACGATGGTATCATATAAAAACAATTATACTAGAAGTTTTGTGTTAGCATAAAATACTATGTGGTCGTCTTACTGTTCAACTTGCTGTTCTTATTTCCCAATCTTTAAAAATGCTGACATGCAATAGCATGATGCCTTAACTGAAGATAGTTTGACTCATGGTGTGGTATTTTGAAGTTTACGAGCATGAGATATGCAGCTACATTCCAAGTATCAGAAAAATGACATCATCTTTCTTGGCAATTTAGATACATGCTGAAATTGGGAGGGATTTTAAGATATCCCTGTTCCCCAGTCATATTCTTCGGAAAACCTAAACAATTTAATCCTAAATTAAATCTTCACTTAATTATAATCATACATGAATAGCACTAAAATATTCGTACGACTAATGAATGCATACTCTCATTCTTTGTTGTAAACACATTCGTTTCAGAACTGAATATAAGTCAGAACATCCAGACGAAATCCAATGGCCACTGTATATAAGTTTTACAATGTGTTGCATTGTTCTTGTTTAACAAAGTGAGCTAGTTACGCTTTCGAAGAAAACTCAGAGAACCTTTAAGCGCATACTGAGCTTCGTGAAACAACACGCCCTCTACCTCGTAATTCACTTGTTAAGGGCTAACAGAGTAAACTGGAACACAATATTCGTCTTGTTCATCAAGAATAACCTGGACGTATCAGCATTAATGTTCGCCATGTCACCTTCCAACAAGCAATACCGAACGTCAATAACTGTTTTGGTTCTCTGAATTCATCTGTCGAACCAAGCATTCAGTTACAAACATTATATACATGTATCATGCACTTTACAAAATAACTCCCATCTATTTAGAGACAGATAGACGAATCCCCAGTTGGTCTCATTCTAATAATTACCATCAGGTGTCTTTAGTATGAGGTAATGGAAACAACAAAATAGCCTGTCTTACACGTGGAAGAGGAAATCATGTTCTATGAGGATGAACCTTGGGTAGAAGTGAGCATTTAAAGCTTGACCCTCTCCCAGTCAATTTCTGAATACATACTAGCTTCCAGTTGAACTGACACGATTTGTAGGTCTAAACAATTAGCACCATGCATTACAAGCTGAACGAGTTTAGACGTGTAAGTAAATATTTTCCTGGTCTTACAATAGCTCATAGTTTGTTGCACAAATTATCAACCAACTCACTCCATGCAAAAATAAAATCATTGAGGATGAAATGAGTATTTCAGAGTAGTATCCATCGAAGACTGACATCAGATGTAGAATCATTGGAAATGGTGAGGCATCGAACAGCTATTTCGTCGCATAGTGGAAGGCCTCTTCAGTGTTACGCAGTTGTGATCCCACCAGGAATCGAACTAGGGATTTCCACGTCTCATGGTAAACTCATAAGCTATTCAACCAGTGGGTTGGATTTCACTGTACCACAGTTGCTAACTTCTGTCAGTTCGTAGCATGGCACGACTATCCACTATCATCTTCATTTGGCACTCGTTTCACAGGAGACTGGTTGAAAGTTTGTTGAAAGTTGTCGATAGAATTTGGTCAACACTCAGACATTATGAAATTGTCTGCCTTCCAGCTGCCAGTCATTGCGCGGACTGGCACATGCCATATTACTCCCATGTTTATGCTAATGTATTGTTAACTATGGAAATAAGAATTTCTGTCTACTACAAACTGAATAAACGCGTACATCGAGTGTACGGAGCATAGTGTACACTTCAGTTCAGTATTGATCAATGGAGATGATTCTGTTTGGATCATTTCGGAATATACTGAACATCAGCATACACGGGTTTCTACAAAATGTGTCGGAAAGTATTGTGACTAACTTTGATGGAAGATATGTATGTTTTGGATGGAATTCCTAATGAAAATCGCATATTTGGGGACTCAACTATTCTTTGGTACGTACTACTGACAGTAGAACCAGTGGTTGAAGATGAACTTCACCAATGAACCAATCAGTTAGACGACACTAAGCTAACTGAGATGGTCTAAACACTAGACGGAGATTTTCTTCTCTTATCACCATGTTCCTAAGCAATTCGCCTGAACTGAGTAGGCTCATACATGTGAGTTATCCAGACTACCGAGCATTGAGACTTAATTAGAGGATTTTCGACTTTATAATTCCAGAGTACAGTACAGTACATTTGACTTTTGAAAATTCGCTGTGATTTACTTCGGTAGTCTGTGTTTTCAGATCACGATGCACTGTCTATCTAATCCTTGACCACTTCTAAATGGTCAGTCAGTTGTTTCCAGTTAGTCAGGTGACCAGGTGTATTCAGCTGTCTGTTTTTCTCTTCATATTCTTGATGTGATCATTATTGTCAGGCTGGTCATCTTTCGACTAAAGTAGAGTGAAATTAGTTATGAACATGGTGAGTAGAACTGTGTAGTATTCTGCGAATTATATTATTATCTGATGAATATTCAAGCACTATTCAGGTTTCTGCATAGAAGCCATTTTGCAAGTTGTCGGTCAGTTTCATCTAATATAACTGGATTTTAAATGTATAAGTGCGTGACACACCCATTAATCTAGATATCTCTAGAATATTTCGCTAACGCGTTGAACTGTTGCACAAAGTCTGCCTACGTAGTTTATAACGGTCACATGCGTTATTGTGAATCTCTGTAGCAGGAATATTTAGAAGTTGGAAGTGACATTGTTTTGTAAGGGCTACCATCTATCGCTTCATTGATGACCATCAACATTCTACAATAGAAGTGAATACATAAGATATATAATTCAGTTAAATCACATTTGCATGCATTCTCCGAAAGGTCAAATTCTACCTCGTATCTTACTTGTCATTGCTATTCAGTAGAATC